AACTCATGATCATGAAATGCTTTTGGTACATTTCAAAGCTCTCGAAAAAAATGAGAAAAATAAAAAATAAAAAATGGTTATTCCAAGTGGCAATCATGACATAATTGCATTGGTGCTTTATTGGTTATTATTTCTCTTTTGAATTCTTGATGAAATCATTGTCAAAGGGGGAGAAATATACAAAATGCATGCTTCTTGAAAGGGGGAGAATTGAATTGTATTTTGATTTTAAAAATAGTCGATTTTGTGCTTTGATTGCAATTTGCTGGGAGAAATTCTTTCTTTTATAAAGGGGAGAGTTTTTCTTTTTCACTTTTGTGATTTTTGTTTTTATTTTTCAAAAACACAAAATTGCATTTTGATGATGCTGCTAATGTGTTCATCAAGGGGGAGATTGTGAAATCATTGTCATGATTAATATTTGTGATGAACAATTGGCTTTACAAATAATTTAATCAGTGAATTGGTTTGAAAGGATGTGTGGATGTTGGTGTGAGTGCGTGTGACTAATGTGGGTCAGGTTGTGATATCTGTGTCCAGGAACGGTTGTTTTATCTGATTGTTTGCAGGTGACTTGAGGTCAGCCTTGGTCAATGGTGAGGACCGGGACTATGCTCAGGGAGGAGCAGAGGTCTAGTGCGGTCGGGATACCATGTGAGAAGATGACTAGAGTTAGGATTCTTGGAGGTCAACTTCGGTAAACGGTGGGGGTCGGGACTAAACTAAGGGAGGAGTTGAGGTCCAGACGGTCAAGGATACCAGGTGACGAAGTTGGATACGAGATGGCATACAGTGGATGGATATCGTGTGGGAGAGATCTTCGCAACGGGCTTCATAACATATGCGTGCAAACGTCGGTGTTCGTGAAGAGGATTGGAAGAAATTAGAACAGGAGTATATATGGTGCTACAGTACGGTGGTGTACTGTAGCGTGCATATGTGTATGCGTGCTTGTGTGTAGCATGCATATGTGTGGTATATTGATCGATGCATGCAAGTGTACTGTAGTGGTTGGCAGTACATGTATGCATGTATGCATATACATGTGTGGAGATTATGGGTACACCATACCCACACGGCATGGTTATCCGACTGGTTATAGGGGATAACTTATATCTATGAAATATGTAACGGATCATGACTTAGGTATTACGTTTCCCTGTATATTATGGAACGGCCTAAAGTCCTGATTTGATAAGATTGTAAAGTAGATTTAGGAAACTGATACCGTATTGATTAAGGCTTCTATCTTGTAATCCTGCCCCCCATCCTATATAAGGTGGGCAGGAGGCCCTCAAGGGGGCATGACACACAACCAGATCGTCAGATCAATACACACCCGGCGGATTCAAATCCCCAAACAGGAGTAGGGTATTACCTCTCATTGAGAGGGCCTGAACCTGTCTAAATCCTTTGTCTCCGCATCCATCCACTTTTAGGTCTCGTGCGCTACCCCCTTTTATTATTGCCCTTGTTTCGACAGTTGGCGCGCTAGGTAGGGGTGCGTCGAGTTTTCTATCGAGAAGTGCGATGGATTCAACTTCAAGAAGAAACGTCGAGATCAATCTTACTGATTTCAATGGCCTAAATCTTCAATCGGGTTGGTCGTTCCAATCTAGCTTCTATCAGATTAATTTTTAATTGTGATTTGCTTTTCTGGTGTTTTCTTGCTCTTCCTGTGCTAGTTGGCCGAGATCACAGTGCAGCTATTGGCGGCGCCCTCGTACATAGAGGTTTTATTCATGCACAAGTCAAACGCCGAAGCAGCGCCGACGGATCGTCGGCGCTCTCGTGGCTACCACAGGGCACGAGAGCAGCCGCCTAGAGCTTTACCAGGAGAAAATTACATGCATGAGTTGATCCGGCGATCAACACACGCATCATTAATTTAATTAATCATGCATGCACCATGCACATATATATATATATAGAATTAATTTTCTGATTTTAACAGATTGATCTATCTGCTTAATTACATGCATATATTACCGGTGCTGACATATTTGTGGCATTGGATTTTTCTGGGCTGTGACCACGCATGAACGCGGCTGTGGCACCTCGTCGCCCTAGTCCGTTTCCCATCGTCCGAAGCCGCCGACTTGGATTTGATCCAAACTCGGTTTTGCGGTCCGTACGTGCGCACGGCAGGAGCATATGGATTGGTCTGGTGATGTGAATGTGTCGATGCGTGTACTGTTCATGCTACAGAAGATCAATCGGCCGATCAAAAATATATGCATGCTTCATATATGCATTCATATATATGCAGACATACATCGACAAGATTAATTTTCTTGATGCTAATTAGAGATTGTTTTTGTCTCTTTACATATACTGCTGGAGCCACCGCCACTGATGAGCGTCGTTGTCTCCATGGTTGGTGTACTCTGCCACCGTTGTTGATGGCAACATTGTCTTCACCACCGATCGCCGCCATCGCCGCCAACTGGTGTTTTCGCCCATATGGTTGGCGGATTCCGCCGCCGTTGATGGGCGTCTTTGTCTTCACCACCGGTCGACGCCATCGCCGCCGACTGGTGTTTTCGCCTATACGATTGGCGGATTCCGCTGCCGTTGATGGGAGTGGAAAAACAAATAAATCTAAACTTAATCTTCACGACCAAAAGCATAGCTTCCTCCATAAACCACAGGCATCCTCGATGCCTGGAACAAGCTCAATCCTAAAAAACTCACCATCTGAGCCAATATCTGCCTCTGGCGTGGGGAAAAATAAAGCAAAACTGAGTACCAACCACCGTATTCAAAAAGTCATACCAACAGGAAGGTATGATGCAAGATATTCACAAAGGAATGGCTCATTGGATATTTGCACTAAAAGCAGCATTTATAAATCATATTTTGAATAAGTAAAACAATATATAATTAAGCAGTATTAAATCATTGTTGTCCAACGCTAAATCTTCGTTGCAACAGGCCCAACCAAACAACCTGAACTACACCAGTTCATTAAGTCATATTATTATAGTGGGACTAATCACGGGGAGCTAGTTAACCGCCTAATAACCGCGGGCACGGCTATTCGAATATGAAAAAGAGCATATCACTTAGCCTACTTTGCACCTTCACCCAAATTTAATCATAACTCATCTAGCTAAATCACTTGGTCAGAATGTTAAAAATGTTGTACTCTACCATAAGGTGCAATGGCTTAATCTAATTCGAAGAGAAACCCCATACATGGAATGAGTACCACAAGATGTATAAACAGTATTCTTGACTGCAGTCAATAGTTTAACTAGTCAACTTTACTAAACTACCATGGTAAACCAAAAGGTAATTAAATTGTGGAACTTGGTACATTGATCTATAAAAAATCCTTGTCTCACCCAAAATTTTAATTAAATGAAAGAGAGAAGAGGGGTTGAAACCACATGTTGAATAGTTTCAACACTTAAAAAATTTAGAGCTTCTAGATCTCTCCTTCTACATCTATCTCTTACATGTGGGACCATGTTCTTATGGGACCCATGTGTCATACAACCACAGCCAACACATCATCTGCTCATCTCTCAACATATTTTTCTTTTATTTCTCAAAAGGTGAGAGGGAGGGAGATAGAAATACAAATCACACCTAAACTACTACTACTCTACCTCTCTCATACACTTAGAATGTATCTACATGGACCCACTTGTCATCGACTCATCAGCCATAAAACCTTGGTGAGTCACCTCTTTGAATCCTAAATTCTATTTAACAAAAGAGAAGTAGAGAGAGAGAGAGAGTTATGTCCAAATTACACCCAAAACTTCACCATACCTCTTCACTCTTATAGGAAACATCTACATGGGGCCACTAGGCAACCTCTCTTCCTAAACATGGGTGAAGTGCATGTTAGGACATAGCTTTTCAACTCATAAAAATCATGTCCATGCCATATCATGCCACCTCTCTCCCTTGCCAGCACAACAACCACTATTTGGTCAACCACTTCACCAGCTAACTCTGCTCACTTCCAAGGAAGAACCTAGAGAAAACTCCCTCGGAATCTCAAAGAACATCCTCCTCTTTTCTCTTAGCCGAAGGTGTTTGATTCGTCGCAAATCTTTTCTGATGAGCTTCGCGACATTCTATCACTGGAACGTAATCTTAGACACCATGCCTAACTCGTTCATGTCCTTTGTTCTTAATTTTCCATGGGTCGAACACCTGGTGCTAAGCTCATCGTCGCCCTCGGTGTCTAGAGTGTTGCCGTGGATTGCGTCGCCGTTCCCGTCGACCCATGCCATCTCAGACCGAGCCACTGTGCCATGATTGTTGCCAAGACCCTAGGAGCAAGATCACCGAAGGAATCGAGCCGAGACATCGTCGTTAAAGAGATCGAGCTCTTCTTGTTCAACTCCGTCCGCCGGCCACCGCTGTCGATTCCTTAATCCCGGGTGAGCTTCAGCGCAATTCCTCACTCGTGTAGCATCCTACCGATTTCCGGTCATTTTTCTCCTACGACATGTGGGCCTTTTTTTACAAATCATTCTATATATATTGCTGGTGTGCTTTGTTGGAGTACTTGAAATTTTGTGTGTTTTCAGGCTATACTCAGAACTGACCTCAAACAAAATGGGTTTCTTCTTACGGTTGTGGGCTTTTTCATGGAGAAAATATCTTGGACTATTTTCCTTCAGGGCTGTGGGCGGTGGGCCACAAAACATACAAAGCCCACAATATTGTGATCCTCAGATTTGTGAGCGCACTATGCCCGTGAAAATTTTTGCGCGATCCACAGGTAGTGGAGGGATTGGAGACACGTGTGTGGATCGACGGACAAAAACATCAAATTTTTTCAGCCGTTTGTCGCATAGACAGTAAAGTACATTACATAGTTCAAGTGGCGGCAAAACCAGCCGCTCGAGGCCGCCGCATTGCCCGCCTACCTACCCTGTGGTTTCCAGCCAAGCATACACGCATGCCAATATGCCATCCATCCCGCCCCCAGACCCCAGAACCCCAACCCGCGCCGCGCAGCTCATACACCCCAGCTAGCGTGGCGCGCCCAGCCCGCTCCACGTCGCCGCGCGCTTCCCCTCCTACGTACTCCTCTCCCATAAATCGACGCGCGCCTTCATTTGCTCTCCTCCCGCCGGTCGAGTTCGTCTCTATCTGTCCAAGCGGCTGGTCGATCAGCGACCACAGACGACGCACGGGTCTCCATGGCCAAGGTATACGCACGCACGGCTTGAATTGGCTAGTAATTAATTTTGCAGCAAGCATGCATTTGTCACCGGCGATCTATCGATGCATGCAGTGGAGGTCGTGGATGCCGGCGACGCCAGCGGGTGGTTCCGGTGGCGGCGCTAACGACGGCGGAGGTGATGGAGAAGACAAGAAGAAGAGCGGTGAGGTGGCGGAGGCGGTGATCAGCGTGCCGGTGCACTGCGACGGCTGCGCCCGGAAGCTGCGCCGCTCGGTGCAGCGTCTTGATGGTAATTAATTAAATTAGGCATTCTTTCCTTTCAACATATATATATACTTGCTGTTTGATTTGCTGAATCATTTGATTACGTACGCTCATGCATGTATGGTGTTTGTTGTGTCGTCGTCGTCGGTGAAGGTGTGGAGGAGGTGACCGTGGATTGCCGGACCAACACGGTGATCGTGAGGGGCCCCAAGGCAGCGGTGGACCCGGCTGGGATTGTGGAGGTCTTGGACAGGAGGACCGGGAAGAAGGCCCTGCTTTTGAGCTCGTTGCCGTCGGCCAACCTGAAGCCACCGCTGTCACCGGAGAAGAGGAGTTCTGAGACGGCGAAGAAAGATGCTGCAGAGCAGGACATGGGCAAAGAGATGTCAGAAGAGGACATGGTAATTGTAACCTCCCGTTACTGCTGCAAATAAATAGGGAAACTGATTTCGTCCAACGAGGGGATATCCCCGCTATTCATGCACGTCACCTAAATATTTATAAAAAAAATTCATCTTCTACAAATTGTAATAAAAATAACAAATATATCTGCGAATGTACGATAACTATTTTCAGTTTAATTTTTTTTTTACAACTTATAGGAGTTGAATTTGCTTTTGTATGTTTATGTAATGATATATTTCATATTAATCTATGTTGTTATTTTTTAAAAAAAATTAATAAATATTTAGATGACATGTAAACAACGAGATGTAAACAACGAGGGGATATCCTCTCAAGGATGAAAATCCATTACCCAAATAAATATTCTAATAACTAGTCAGGTAATTAGCATTCGATATAAGGTTTTACATTTCGGAATGTAACTTTTAATCTAAAATTTTGGAAACATCATACAAAATTAGAAATCTAAACATATTTTCGATGAATTAATTTGAACCAATTTTCAAACAAATTCAAAATATTTGGCTAGATCGATGCAATTTGTTCCTGCCAGGACCCACCGGTAAGTCCGAAATTTTACCCGTGCTAGCTTGTAGTAAAATTCGGAGAAATGATTGAATGCCAGGAAATGGTAGTGGTGATGAGGATAGACCTGCACTGTGAGGCATGCTGCGAGGAGATCAAACGGAGGATACTCAAGATTAAAGGTACTCCGTAGTAGTATATGTACTGTACATCTTAACTGTTAAGCAAGCAGTAGCTTTGCCAATTTAAATAATTGCAATTTAGATGAAACAGAGATAACAGCGCATGTTTTGACTGCACAATTGTGATCGAACTTCTTGCATTGGTCAGGAGTGGAGGAAGTTACGCCGCATATGAAATCGTCCCAGGTGATGGTGAGAGGAAAGGTTGAGCCAGCAACCCTAGTAGGGCTCATCCACAAGTGGACAGGAAGGAGAGCCGCCATTTTCAGGGCAGAACCACAGCATCCGCTGCCCCCACCATCTGAGTCTCCGCCAAAGGTCGACGATGACAACGAGCCTCCAAAGGTAGCCGGAAGTACTGAGCCGGCCGAGGAGGAGGAGACAAAGCAAGGAGGAGACCCATCACCATCAGACGATGCGCAGGAGAAGAAGGAAGGGGAGGAAGCAGATCAGATGAAGGATCAGAAAGAAGAGCCGGAAGAGAAGGAGAAGAAGGAAGAACCAGATGAGAAGAACGAAGGAGGCGAAGCTGATGACCTGAAGCCCCTAACGGAGGACGACGCAAGCTACAATGGCGTCGCGGAAGAGAGCCACAGCACGAAGGATCACCTGTTCAGAGTTGCTCTCCCGAGATCAGTTGTCGCGGTTGCGCCGCCGGAGAGTGAGAAGATGGCCATGAACAGCCTCTGCTACAGCTACTACTACTACCCGGCATATCCGTATCCGTGTCATCAGTATTATCAATATCCGCAGCAGAACATATACGCCGCTGGTAATTATCCTGCAATGTATGGGTACTATCCACATCATGTGCCAGAGGACTTCAGTGACGCGAACCCAAATGTATGTACCGTCATGTAGCACATAAATGTGGGACTTTTGGTGTGTAATTAAGCTACAAGGCATTAATATATAATTGCAATAAATCACGTTTGTCACCGTTAGTGAAACACCATTCACATACCTGCGGCCGAATGGGATGCACAGGTGCAGGAATACAAGACTTGGAGCCCTTTTAACAAATATATAACTGGAGGCGCACTTTGCTAACCTTTAATAAGCATCACTACTAGGGAAACCATCTATTATCGGTTGCCCAAAACCACAATAGTCCCGATTCGAATAGAAACTGAGACTAAAAGATCATTTTTAGTCCCGGTTAAAAAAAATTGATCTTTAGTCCCGGTTAAGATCATTTTTAATCCTGGTTCAAGAAGTTGCCGGGCCGAGTCAGACCCTAATTATTTTTAGACCCGGTTGGTATAAATAACCGAGACTAAAAAATGAATCTTTAGTCCCGGTTGTTTGTATCAACCGGGACCAAAAAATCACCCCGATCGAGCCGCGCGCCGAGTATCGGTCTTATCGCCTCCCCCTTCCTCTCTCCTCCCCTCTCATTAAACAGAGACCTCTCATACGCCGAGTCTTGATCTCCTCTCCCAGAGAAGTCTCTCGATCTCCCCATCTCCTTCCTCCCCCTCCCCGCCTCCTCCTCCTACCACATCCTCTCCTCGATCTCTTGCTCTCTGCAGGGTCTGGGGCGGCGGGCGGCGTGGGGCGGCATGTGGTGGTGAGGGTGGCGGCCGTGTGGCGGCAGCAGCCTCCCCTCCGCCGGATCCGAGAGGGGAGGCGGCAGCGGCGCGCGCCGAGGCGGCGGCGGCCTGCGCGCGCGGCAGCGGTGGCACAGGGGCATTGTCACGCCGGAGTTTCTATCCAAAATTCCAAACGCTTACATGTATGTTAAATCCTCGTCCAGGAATCAGCCGAGACACATAATAACAAATTGATAATAGAATACTATCAAACAGCTAATTAATACTCACAAAATAATAAATTATTATAGAGGTGGATAGTTTCTCTCAAAAGAATAAAACTCTACGCAGCAGAAATAAAAACAAAAGACTGCTATGGCGACTCCACTCCACAAGCATCCTGACCTGAACAAAACCTAATCCTCCAAAGCATTACCTTCACTGAAGTACTCCTCCTCTGATGAATGAATATAAGCCACACAGCAAATATGCAAGTGCACAGGATAACAAAGGATGGCATAATAGAGCTTATTTGCATAAACAACATTTAGTAAACATTTGAGAGAATAATAAAACAGTTGAGTAACTAAGCAGTATTAAATAAACACTATACAACACACCCGTGTTGCATAGGCCTAACCTCATCTGAACAACCAACCCCGGTTGTACAAATCAAATCTCCATACCAGGAATATACCATTCGAAACCAGAAGTCAAATTAATTATCACAGTTTACCACCAATGAATAGTGTGAGACTAATTACGAAAAACATTGTCCAACTCGCCCATAACCGCGGGCACGGCTATTCAAATAGTTTTACTCTGATCAGAGGTGTACCACTGTAATCACAAGACACAGCTCCACAACATGTCACCATGCGCCTCAATACCACCACGATATCTCGGAAAGGAACTGTGACAATACCCCTCGCACAACACAACTCACCACAGTGCACCATTCCTGGATCATAATCACCCCCTCTACAACTAGAGGCATGGACTCCCCGGCGATCCCCACGGACTTCTCGCCGCTTCTCAGTCAGGCACCCCATAATGAGCTATGCTATTCAAAAGGTAAAGCCGTTGCCCACGCCGGCTTGTGGTTGGCACGGTAAATGTTTAACAACAGTAGCTCGCGAACCAGTCCTTAATTGTCATGAGCACGACCATCAAAACCATGCGCTCACAACCCACCTTTAATCAGGTTTTAATTATCAATTAATTTTTATAACACGATTAACCATCGTGAGCTACCATTAAATATAACCATAATTAATTATGTAGTATAATCCATCACATTAATGAGCAAATGTTTCTAAGCGTGGCTAAGCAATTATATATATAGCATTTAGCTTAAACAAACCAATATATAAGGTTTGAGCTAATCAATTTATTACCTAAAAGAAAATAAAGTCATTGTTGGCCATAATTAAATGGGAAAGGCTCACCACCCGATGACATATGAAAATAATGCATAGTTGAAAAAAAACATTAGCTTTAAACGGGTTTAATATGCTCAAAGGGTTGTTTGGGATCTGTGTGACTTGCCTTGAGCTTCTTCAAACGCTTCTGAACCTTCCTCAACGAAAACGCTCACCTCCGGAACATCGGAAACTAAAGCAAGACAAAATCAACAAAACAGTACAAAAACATGTATAAACAGTACATGTGGAAATTTTTAACATGTAGATCTCGATTTTATATGAATTTAGCAACTTGAACCACTCGAATCCAAGTTTCGATGATTTAGTTATGAATTTTCTAAGTTTAACCGATTTTCATCTAATACAGAAAAGCTTTTATAAATAAAAGGGAATTATGATGTCATCGATGACATCATCGCAGCCATGGCACTGAACCACAAGGTCGCCGGAGCTAGAGGGCTCGGTTGGGCTTTCCGAGGACACCAACGCGAAGAGGACGACGACACGAACACACCGGTGCAAAGAACTATGACGGACGACGACGAACGACGACCGACGACGAGCTCGACGGCGGCTCTCCGGCGGGCTTCGGCGGCTGCGATGGGGTGGACGGGGTGCTCCTCCACCTAGCGAACTCGGCGGTGGCGGCAAACGGCGGAGACGGCAACGCTAGCGGTGGTGCGGCGCGGCTGAAACGGCGACGGCGGCGCTACGGGTGACGGCGGGGCTCGGGACTTGAGGGGAAACGTAGAGGGCGACTGGGGGATTGTGGACCCCCGTTTTTATAACAGGAATCAATCGTGTAAACAGTACCATTTCCCTGGATCAAGTAGTTTGGTACTCACGAATTCATAGCTGGAATATCAAGTGCACATACACGAGTATCTAATACGAATTATTACATCATAGGCCCGCAGGCATAGTCTTAAATCATCGGACCGAGAGGTCCGGAATACATCCAAAAGCAGAAATAGATAAGGCAGCGGAATTCAGGCAGCGGCATGCCATTGCCACAGGCAACGACCGTACTAAGACCTACTGGACGCCATCGTCTTCATCTCCCTCCTGATAGTAGGCATAAGGATCCTCCGAGGCTTCATCTCCCGCTTCTGATAAATTTTATATTTGCAAGGGTGAGTACCAACCGTACTCAGCAAGCCACCACAGCAACAATGCATATGAAAGGGGGAGTTCAAAGGATGGCCATAGTTCTTTTGCGCAAAGCAAGTTTTGTAATTCTTTTCACAAGCCTAAGACCTAGCATTGACTGTTCAACTTTTAGTACCAGAGTTTGTATTTAAACAACGACGGTTCTGTCCACCATCCATTGTGATCCCAAGGATAGCTTCCCGCCATTGATTCGTCATGGTTTTCTGAGGATGTCCACCTTCCCACCTCTCAGGAAGTGGCTCCATCAGCATAAAAATCATCATGCAATATCCCATCCCACACAAGTTAAGAATTTAGAGTCTAGCCAAGTGTAATACATGTCCCGGTGCTCAATAACCGCGAGCACGGCTATTTGAATAGATTTGGTTTACTCACACTGCAGTGGATGTACACTTTACCCGCACTCCGCGACTGCCCAACACATGAGCCTCGTCCCAACACATGAGACGCGTCACGGCAAAGCTTTTCGATAACCTCGCATTGGCAGTACCCGCTCCATGAACTTAAATCCTCATGCACTCTAGGCGTCCATGTTTCTAGCAGTGAGAGGAGTTCTGGCGCTCCCGGGAAAGAGAAGTCTCACACGCATATTAAATTATGGTTCAAGTTAAGTTCTCTCTCTCACACACTCATGGCAGTCCTACCAATGGCGAAACCGATGTAGGGCACGCCTCTCGGCCCTACCTCAACGGCTGTCCCATTGTAGCGCACCTGCCTCACTCAGGGGTGAACCATCTATGCAGGGATACTGCCTCCGCTCGGCTATCTAATCCGCTAGGTCTATACCCATTCGAGAAGTACGGTTGTACGGGGGTCGTTTCATGCTTAACTTCATGGCTCGGTCCTTAATTGACCGGGGACGGTACTAGCCTTTTCCAGATACCACCCAAATCCTCCGTCCGCCCCAGTCGAAAACAGTTGTTTAATTTTATTTCTCCTTTCACAAATCATGTCATCAACATCATGGCAATGTGGCGCTCATGTCTCCACATGCCGCATCTCAATTACCTTCCCAAAGGTAATTGCCCAAGCATATAGCATTTGATAAATATGAGTATGCATGATTCTAGAATAGCATTTCTAAGCAATTGTCATAATTGACTAGGGACTCATACGTAATCATGGGTACAAGGATTTTAAGGGTAAACAATAATCAAGGCATGGCATAATCACAAGTAGGATGTTCATCATTGCATGCAATTTTATTTGTAAACAAAACAATTTCGCAATTAGGATCAACATGTTCAAGGAATAGTGATGACTTGCCTTGCTCGAGGTCTTGCGGGTCTTGGCCTTCACCTGGATCCGCGGCTCCCTCGGTCTCTATAGTTACGTGCGAAAATTGATTTGAATTCGGTTAGAATTCAAATAAAAATCCAAGTAAATCCAAATGGAAGTCGAACGCGAAAGTCAATTCCTTTTTATTAATTTTACTATCCGCGAACTATGGCAAACCCCAAATTTTGGTTTAAATTATTTTGCGGTTACAATATTTTGTTGTCGTATGTTTTTAATTTAATCTACCCTAGCATTATATCCATATATTAGGTTAGAAATTTCTTATCGTGAGCCAAATGTCGGACGGAATCCTAAAATTATCTTATAATATTATACGACTTAATTTAGTCTATGATTAAATATAATACACGGCTAACACCCTAGTAATTAAATCCGAATCGCTACCGTTGATCGATTATTTATAGAGATTTCCCAGAAATAATCCACAATAATTTACGAGAATTCATACATTTGTTTAATTATTAATTACATCTAAATTAATACCGCGAATTGATTTCTTATGGAGAGTACTAAAAGTTATCTATA